CCTCACTGATGAGATCTGGATATTCAAGAGTGAAATCCATGTTTATTAATTACACAATTACATGTATTAGCCAATTTTTAGCTGTCCTTCAATTTCATTGAAACTTGTTTTCGACTCCATGTGTGAAGCCACAGTCTCTTATTTAGTTTTATGCATCATTCAAGATGGCGGCCCCCATATAGTAAATATCGCATTTATTTTATTATATCAGGTGTGCACAGTCTCTTATTTAGTTTTATGCGTCATTCAAGATGGCGGCCCCCATATAGTAAATATCGCATTTATTTTATTATATCAGGTGTGCACATTCTCTTATTTAGTTTTATGCGTCATTCAAGATGGCGGGCCCCATATAGTAAATATCGCATTTATTTTATTATATCAGGTGTGCACAGTCTCTTATTTAGTTTTATGCGTCATTCAAGATGGCGGCCCCCATATAGTAAATATCGCATTTATTTTATTATATCAGATGTGCGCCAGCTGACTGTGTGTGAAGCATACAATGAGACTATTTGCGATTAGTGTGTGTCTGTTCCACTGATATTTCAAGAACCAATTATCAGATTTGAATGAAACTTGGTACATAGATGTTCAGAGATAATGTTCAGAACTGATTAGTTTTTGATTGAAAACCATTCATGTTAATGACAAAATTTGCATATTAATTATCCCATTTTAAGCCGCCTCACTTTTTTTCAACTGATTTCATTGAAAATTAATATATACGTGATATGAGCTAATGTGCAAACCTGGTAAGTTTTTGGTTTCAATCTGCATATTAATTACCTAATTTACATATTTACCCAATTTTTAGCTTTTCCACAAATAATTCAACCATTCATCAGATTTCAATGAAAATTACTACATAGGTGCTCTGGGGTAAGCCATATACATGGTATATGTATATAACATGTACATGTTACATGTGTTTACTAGTAGTAATAAGCATCCTTCCGTCTCGGGAGACGATGGGTTTGCGCCCAGTGAGTCATTCGCTCAGTCTTCTTGAGAGCAGCGGCTGGCGTGACTCAGCAGCCCGATCCTTGCATGACAGTCTCTGCTGCAGTTGCCGCACACATAGTTTAAAGTTGGATTTGTTGCTTTGTTCTGCTGCCTGTCTTTCCTTCTTGCTCTTCTCTCCTCCAACTGTTGCTTTTTCTCGCCTCGCTTGACTCCCTCTCTCACAGTCTGTCTTCAAACACTGCGGTCGTCCGCAAGCGATTCCCAGGAATTAGGATCAATGCATGTCAGCTTCAAGTCACGCTTACAGACGTACTTAAAACGCAGAACTGGACGTCCTGTTGGTCGATGGCCGGAAGCCAGCTCGCCGTACATGACATCTTTTGGTATGCGGCCGTCATCCACTCTGTGTACATGTCCAATCCATCGCTAACGGCGCTGACAGAGCAAGAGATGCATACTGAGAGAGCCAGCTTTCTCCAGCACTGCGACGTTTGTGACCCTGTCCTGCCACTTGATGCTGAGAATACGTCGGAGACAACGAATGTGAAAGATTTCCAGGCGGTTCTCTTGCCTGGCGTATGTCGTCCAGGATTCGCTGCTGTACAGTAGACTGCTGAGCACACACACCTGATAGACTTTGAGTTTGGTGTTCAAAGTTAGCTGGTTGTTTCCCCACACTTTCTTACTCAGTT